AAGACTAGGGGAGAGCTTGATGGTCGTAGGTGAAATAGTGTAAGAGTGATACATATATACTTGCAGTTGACTAGAACTGTAAGCTCTACAGTGACTCTTCTACAACCACAACTAAGGGAATTTCGCAAAGAACTTGCATTAGTCAAATTATCTCCCTTATGACTGGTTCCAGTTGTGTTGTATGAAACTCGGACAATGCAGAAATCCAATACAATGCAGTTAATGCCAATAGAAGGCCAATAGAGTTAATGCCAATAGAAAGCCCTCATGTATCTGAGGATAATGCCCAACCAGCAGTTAATAGAATATTTGAAATTACCTTTTTCTCTCTCTTTTTTCTTTAAGAAGATTCCAAAACATATACTATGGGACTGGATGAGCTTGGGAGACATTCTGTTTTAGTTTTAAAAGTTAAAGGTACACTGTGAGAATCATAACAATCACTTAACAACATACCTATTTCAATCTCTTTTTTTCAATGGGGAGCTATTGACAGACTTAGAGCATCAACTGACGATCTCAGCCTATTAGCTCTGCCAATCCAAGACTTCCTGTTTGATACCTCAGACATTGAACAGAAGTAAACGAGTGACCGTGATCCCCTATGCTGGCGCCTGGGACCCCCAATGCACTATGACAACTTAATTGTGATGACGTTGCTATGGTGCCCAGTGTAATCCTTTAACCCCTTAAGGACACATGACATGTCATGATTCCCTTTTATGCCAGAAGTTTGGTCCTTAAGGGGTTAAATATCATCAGTTCTATATTGTTATGCAGTCATAACCCAATTCACTAACATTGTCACATATTCATCAATCTCAGGAGATATTTTTAGTTTCTGTCCCACTTTTTACAGGAGGTGCTTTACTTAACCTCCCACCAGGATCCCATGTCCATTCTGTATCTCCGACTCTTACTTTTTTACACGTCTCCAAAGACAAATGTCTTTTTAACTTTTTCTGTTCTTTTTTCCATTTTTTTTCCCTTTAATTTTATTTTCAACCTTTTCAGACGTTCATGTTTGAGCCATAATTCCTCCTACAAGGTATTCCCGTTATCGAGATTTGCACATCTATTTACAATTGCCTGCGAGCGCCATAATTACGATACAGTAGAAAATGACCATTTTCCTTGTCTGACTACAAATAGGGATCAATCGAATTTTAAATGACTGCTTACGGGCTAGCTTCCGATCATGACCTTTGTAAATGATTAGCGTTTGCTACTGTTCATATCTACCTTGAAAGGGTAAGTAGACTGGCCTGCCTAAGTGGCATTTAGTCTGGAGCAGTGCCAAAAATACTTGTTCTTAGAACCTAACTTCACTTGGCAAATGGAAGAGATCTCTTGTCTTTTCGCTGTCATATAGATATTCCCCCCACAAATCACACACACACACAGTATCTTCATTCTTCATTTTTTCCCCCCCTTCATCCTGACTTATTATTTTCCAAGTTACATGTCTGCAGATATATTTCAGCTTTATCTAATTGAACGCAGAAACCTTTCTTCAAAGAAATCATAATTTTTTTAAATCTGTGGGTGGAAAGCAGGGGGAAAAATAAATGCTTGCTAAAAAACATTCCTGAAATCTGCTAACTAACCTTAAACATAGCTCGGAATCTAGTTAAAATAATGTCCCAGGCATATGGTTTGATTTTATCAAGTCCATTAACGTGGCGAGGAATAATAATTATTTAGTATTATAAAAATAATGATTGGCTATAATAAGAAGTACATTCAGATAACCTTTTTTTCCGTTTCAATTCCTGGCCAATCTTTAAACTCTGAAAAGAGTAGGGTAATCTCTGAAGAACAAACAGTTTTGGTTCTTTCCACATACCTTGGAATGATTTTGTTCTCGAAAATGTATTTTTCCCCCCTCCGCCTGATTCCTGCTACTTATTGTCCTGGCTCCTTTGTGGCGGAGACTTTAAGGCTTAAACCTCACTCAGTCATGCCAAATAAAAAAAAATCTCATCTCTATATATAAACATGATTGTAGCCATCTTTAAAACTCCTTCTTAAAGGGACATTGTCCCTTCCCCGAATTTTTTATATTACGTTTACTTATCTTCTACTTTTAACAAATAGGTACTGGTGAGGTATGAAAAATAAAATTAAATGTAGAAATCTGAACATTTTAATCCTGCACGTGGGTGCCTCCATCTTAGCTCCTTGTCGATCATTGTTGTCAATTCTCTCCTTTGGCATAGAGAAAGCATACCGAGAAGAAGAGAAATTAAACAATGTTTCCAAATCTTCTCTTCATTTTCGGTGTCTGCCTTGGCATGCTTTGTCTGAATTGTACTATAATGTGTTTTCAGGCGTATTTATAAATTTAAAAAAAATAAAGCATCTTATTAAAAAAGGCTAACTGAACGGTGTAAACTGAAGTGACATTTCCCCTTAAGATTGATTTTATGAGAGAGAAAAAGTTTAGTGAAATACAATATTTATCCTATTTTTAGGTTCCAAAGCTGGCAATTTAATTTAGGATAGATATTTTTATTAAATCATAAATGTAGTAATCAAGAGGGTTACTTTCGATGTGTTTGACATATTTTTGTTTTCTTTCTTGCCCAATAATCGACTCTCACAATTTTAAATTGTAGCTCACTCCGGCAGCCGGTGGATATTTGGTTTTCATTTATATTTTCATTTATATATATAATTTTTTAAATATATATTTGATTGCAGCTCATAGGGAACCGTACAGAATAGTAAAAGGCATATCGTGCTACTTTTTGGGTGCATTCAATAGAAAGTTATGAACAGCGACAATTGACATACAAAATACAGCGCAGTGAGGCTGTTATGCACCTAGATGTTATCAGCTGAGCAATCCACTTTTTATGATGAGTAACTTACACTCTAAAACACACTGCTTTTAAAGTGAGGGGGGATTGAGTCTCAGGTGAGAGCATGTAAGAACCTTTGGTGGAAAAACATATAACATTAGATTAACTTGTGAAAGACTAAAGACACAGTATTGGCAAAACTAGGGATATGAGCGTCCAAAGTTGATTGGAAGGAACGTCTCTGTGCCAGAAACACATCTCAAGTGCCGGCCAGAATTGGCTCCACTGCTGTTGGTCTGGCTTTCGGGTGGAAGGGTCAGACATTACTCACGTCCCACATCTGGGTCAAGGATTGGTTTATTAGTACAGTTATGGTCTCTGTGCGTTCGCTATTGCAGAATTCTGCTCTATAAAAAGGATTAAAGGACCACTATAGGCACCCAGACCATTTCAGCTTAATGAAGTGGTCTGGGTGCCAGGTCCATCTAGGATTAACCCTGCCTTCTGTAAACATAGCAGTTTCATGCGCATTCAGCCAATGACATCAGAAGAGGGAGGAGAGTCCCCAGCGCCGAGGGAGCCCGGCGCTGGAGAAATGTGAGTGTTTAACCCCCTTCCTCCCCCTTCAGCCCAGCGGGAGTGGGACCCCGAGGGTGGGGGCACCCTCAGGGCACTATAGTGCCAGGAAAACGAGTTTGTTTTCCTGGCACTATAGTTGTCCTTTAATAATCATAATGGGGAAAAATAAAAATATTAGGTAAATTGTAACAATATTTTTAATTCCTGTGTTTGCTTCATGCCCCCAGAATCGTGTGAGATCAGCCCAAACCAAGGAGTAGCTGATTATCATATCCCATAATCCTCTGCCCGCCAGCATTACTATGATTTGTAGATCATCACTAAATGAAGATCAATTTATACAAAGACATGATGGTAACGGCAGCCCAAACCAGAAGAAAAGGCTGAGGAAGATAAAATCTCTCTGCACTCAAATGGCGTCATGTTGAAGAAGTTATGCAAAGATGTAAAAGGGGAAGAGTCACCAATGCAATGTGTCTGCTGGTTCCCGTGGTGATTGGTCCAGTTTTATTACTTTGTATCACTTTTCAGAAAACAACACTGTTTATAGATAGCCCCCATTGGAGTATTTTAATCCCTATACTGGCTAAATACCATTGGGTTTTAAAAAGTAATTAATGCATGAAGACTGAAAGACTAAATTCATTTATTCAGATTTCTCAGTTCTCCATTTATTGGGATTTGTTTTTACTGTATTGTTTATAATCAATGCTAGTCCTTTGGTTTTTGTTGTTGTTCCAATTTGGTTAACAAAAAGAAAAGGAAAAAAAAATAAAATAATTATTTTATAATTTTACTGCTATATAACCTATACAATTCTATTTCATTAACGCAGTGTTTTAAGTAAAACGTATACAGACAAGAAACATCCTATCACACGGTTTTCTACAGGTGAGGCTTTACTAGTTATCGGTCAGGTTACACATACAAAATTTCCCCAATATCTCTAGCATGGATTACTATTATTGGGGTTGTACATGAGATAAACGCTGTTATCTTCTAGCTACCTGTATCCAGGAAAAAACAAAACCTCCTGGCCATGATTCAGTTAAACACCCTTTCTGGACCAAATACTGATTATTCCACAGATTATTTGACATATTTACATATTTCACGCACAGCTATTCTCTATCCATTGCTGCTGGTGAACATAGCACATTTTTGGGGGAGGGAGGTGGGTTCTGTAAAGCTTTTTAAACCAACTGCAAAAGGGAGGAAATGAATTCTTCCTTTTTTTCACTTCATTTTCACATCCTCACATTTCCTTATTTCACATGGTTTAAAAAAAAAATTAAAAATGCCTGTAGCGATATTTTTCCTTTCTCAAGAGCAAACTGAATGTGACTTTTCTAAAGGGGTCACAGGATGCCTGCGGGGCAGGGGGCGTAGCTGGACTGCTTGCTTGCTTTCAGCTTAACTGAAGGGCTTGTCAGGATTTTCATCTTAGAAGAAATTAGCCCCCAGCGCTGGCCGGCAGGAGCAGAACGCTGCATTATGAGTCCCACGCTGGCTATTTCCCACTGACATCAAATCCAGATTTTCTCTTTTAGATTTTTTTTTCTTTCTTTTAAATGAATCCCCTTTTAAAGACAAGGCTTCATAACAGTGCCAATTTGAAACTCGCCTGGATTAAAGACCTTTCAAAGATGTCGGGATTTCTATATAACCCCCAGTTTAAACCCGTAGGTAACCATCACACCCGTACTGTGGAAGCCAGAAGAGGGCTCTTGCATGGGTTAAAGATGGATGCCCGGTGACTTGACCTGTGTATGGCAAAACTTCATGAAACAAGCAGCCAAGAGGAACTTCACAACATCATCTGTGTGCGTGCAGTAGTGCCCAAAGCACACAAGGCAGCCTTTAAACACGCACAGTGAACTGATCAGTTACAATCTCTCTCCAAAAACAGGTCTCCTTTTACCGCCACAGTTAACCTAATATGCTGGGTGTGGGACGATTTTACGGCTCATATTGTGCTTCTAGCTGGAATGCCAAAAAAAGAAACAAAGTAATACCATATACTCTTCGTTTTATACAAAGGCATGCAAATAAAATTAAATGCAAACTGCGTTTCAAGAAAAACTTGGCGTCTGCAACGTACCTCTGACTAAAAGGTCGAAGTAAGATTAAACCGCAGTCAAAACTCTGCGTGAAAAAAACCCTACAACAAACATATTATATATTTATACAAATGCAGTTTTACCCAGGCCTTGGCATACAATACCCATCATAGGAGTGTGTTCATGCCAAGGTAAATGTTAAGGTAAATAATAAAGTATAATCTGTTCATTGTGCAATCCAAAATGACAGTAGTTGTGTGGATTAAACGATATATTCTTTATCTAAAGGCTCCATCCATTTCTTTTCTATGACCGAGGTACATATATCCCAAAGTGCACAGTGCTCATTCCCAGAATTCTGTGTGCTATGAGCATTTTGTAGCTGAATCCAAAGTATCATCGGAACTAAATGGGTACTGATTGTCGTGGCAGTAAGGTATATGCCTCAGCTGGTGGCATTGCATTCTGACCTAGCATCTAAAGTGTAAAATTTTATATTTGCCCTTTTCTCGTAGGGCAATGCCATTTTGCAATGTCATTTTATTTCCTATATTGGTACAATCTACAAAGTTATAGGTAACAATTATCATTTGATCGGTGGAGCTAGACCAGGGGTAACTATAGGATACTTGTCCATTTGGAGGAGTCTACTGGTAGCTTTGGATTCATGGTGGCTGGGAAGAGTCCTAATCTTGACTAATCTTCCCAAAAAAACATTAAAGCTCAGTTGAGATGGATTAATAAGAAATACATGTAGTGTAGTGTAATGTTGCATGCCTACACACCCTCTGTCTTATACTATTTGACCTGAAAATAGATATTTTGTAGGTTTCCTTTTTCATGTTTAACAATGGATTCTAGCTATCGCTGTTTAATAGGAGTAGACTGTTCTTGATCCGTCAAAGGCCAAACACAAATCCACACATTCCTGTTTTGGCTACAAACTTGTCAGACAGTTTGAAGCTGATAGAATGCTTTCTAAAGCTGTGGGCGGTATCAATGAAGATCTCTACAGTTTAAAGGCTTAGGGCATTTAGAGGAAGGCTAGAGCTTATAATTGGAGTATTTTAAATAACATTTTGTATCATTTAAAAATATATAGGTCAATGTTGCCATACTTTGCCAGATGTTTAAGATAATTTAAAGGGACACTTCAACCACCTTTCCAACTAGACTTTTTTACAGGAGTTAGGGGACTAGGCTATGGGTTTCATCCCTCTGGTTGTTGTGAGTATGTTTTCAGTATATTGACAAAAACTGATGGTTTTCTGGCAGCTTAAGCCCACCTCTTTGGCTGGAGCAATCTTAGTGAGGCAGTTTTACCTAATCATCTTTTGCTCCATAATTTGTATATGAAAGAACTTGTGTAAATTTAGTTGCACTAACAAGGTTAACTGTAATTAAGTTGTGCCAAAAGCGCTCTGAATTGGGCTGTCCACAATTTACATAAGCAACGTTATAGCTGCTGGGATAACTTCAGACCACACTGATCAGGGTAAGAAGTTCCTGATTGGAAGACCCTCTTCCTGTATAGGCAAAGCCCTCTGTTTGTGCTGCTTGCCTGTGGATTTTCAGCAACTGAGGAACTGTTAAGGTAAGTATTCTTTTTTTAATTTTATTATATTTTTATTCCAGCCTGTAGTGTCCATTTAACGCTTCCATAATATTAATCCCTACTACAGCTCTCTTTTCTAAGCTGTTTGCAGAACAGGACATGCTTTTCCAGCTGGGGCTAAAGAGGTTTATTGAGTGGTATCAACATTTCTTGTACACCCATATTATCAACTTTCCTTCTAAACACAATGATATATTATCATCTACTTAATTATCACCTGGTGTCTTATTTCCTATAATGCTGCATTAGGCTTTATGGCTTTGGACTGTCTGTTTTCTATTTTTATGATAGCACAGATCTATACTCAGATTCTGAATTGAATTGCACATATCACAGTAGCCCAGTATGAGCTACTTATAGTGGTCATGTCATTCTATGGATTCTTCTCCTAGACTCCATAGGGCACTGTAGTCGAAGTTATGTTCTCCATATTGTTGGAGCCCTATAACCATACCCATTAGTTGCTTTTATCACTTTAGGACAGGGGTCTTCTAGTGCAGGCCATATGAAACTGGTTCAGGCTAGAAATGGCCTGCCTATTTTTGATGCCCATGCCAAAAAATTAGGCTCCCTCTTTCCTTAACTGCCTCAATCATGATTGCTGTGACTGTGATCTCGATTACCATAATTATGATTGCAACAATTTAAGACGAATTGAATCTAGCATTGTGGATGTGGCAGCAGACTGTTGCTTGGGAGAATATAATGCACGGCTAGATTGACCGAGAGGAAATGCGATATATGCTATTAAGCCACAAGTGGTAAAAGTGAAGGAGGAGGTCAGGGAATTGGAGCTATATCTTGGAGTTCCAAAAAGGATTCCTGAACCTGCCCTAATCAGGACCTTAGTCTATAGTTCCTAGTGAGTAAGATGGGATGCTGATGCAGTAGTACTGTATATAGCTAAGTTTTGTTTTTGAAAATGTTTGTATTTGGAATTTTTACCCCCCCATGAGAGAAGTACTTGGCTTTTTACCCACAGGGAAGATGTATTTGAGATCCCTGATCTACGGGGTTTAGCTCAATGTCCGCATTCTACTCTGAATGCCACTGAGGGGGTTTCATCTGGTATTTATTTGCTCCTGGGTTAAAAGTCTTGACTGTACAGTGCGGTGGTCCAAACAAGGGATCTGGTATTAATGTGACGGTAGCATATGCCAATTATAGTGGGCACTACAACTCAAAGGGCCATAGAACCAATTCCATCTATTTCATGGGAGCTTTAAATTCTCTAATTTTGCTAGCTATGTCTTGCCTGATGCGTTTCACGCGGTTATCCTGTTTGTTCTAAATGCTGTCTGCTATATTTATATATTTCTGTGTGCAGTCCTTGCAAAACAACACACAGATACAGTCTTGCTTTTCTATCCTCTTTACATCACCAGATGCTACATGCATTTTCTCCCTCAAATACGTGTTTGTAAACATTTTAGTTCCATGACATTTGCTGTGAGTTTTCCAATTGTTAAAGCCAGTGATTTGTGCTACAAGATGTAAATGTTTAATATCTCTTTGTAGTGTTCTCTTTTAACACACAGCATTGCCTAGGGAGTCGGAGAGAGGCTCTGAGACACGCATTCTCTCTCTGCCTGACAAATGAAAATAAAGTCCTCCAACAATAAAGACAAACTTCTCTTAGAACGAGCCAATTTGACATTGAGCATCATTCTTTCATTTAGCATTTTAAAGACGGCTCATTTATTGGTTATACCTAGTGTTCGAACCTCTGTTCATTTCTCTTGGCCGCTCGGTTTAAGATTATAGATCAGAAAGTCATAGGAAAACGGATGCCCTCTCCTGCAGCTAAATTAACGAGGCTCACGTGGTACACAATCTGAGCCTTGTGTAGAAAGGGGAGCCATTAAAATCAGCCCAAGGCTATGGACTGTGCCCAATATCACTAGAACTACTCTCCCTGCAGATGTTGGAGCTTGACTCAGAGGCAGTCCCAGCTATGTTCTATAGCTACAATTAAAATCAACTCCTCTGCCAAAAAAATACAAGAAAGGAAGCTAAAGGGAGAACATCAAAGACAGATTGAAATGTGTAGTTAGTAATAAGAGTGGGTCTCCTCTTGAACTGAGCCCTGCAGCATTCCATACCCCCCTTGTTAATGAGAAATTTTGACCTCTGGTTTGTAAGTTAAACTTGTAATCCAAGCTAATGAAGCAAATCAATCCCAACTTCACCGTGCAGTTTCCATTTTTCTTTTTGCTCACTGTGTCTGTGACTCTGTGTCCAAACGTATAAACCTTTTTTATTTTTTTTTAATTTAAGTTCCTGGGCTCAGAAAAATAGATTGATTCTGCTCAAGTCTTGCTTTTTTTTTTTTTTTCGTATTGACATTTCATTCGCTGTTTTTCCTTTGCTGATGGCTTTAGGAAGCAAATTGTGAATTGTGTGTGCGTTTGTGTATGTCTTTATGACATGATTTGACTGTATTTCAAATGCCACACTACGCGGACAGTGATGATAGAATTATGCAGAGGTCCCATTAGTGCATTTTGGGTCCCTAATCTCAGGCATAACTAGGACACACATGTCCAAAATTAGTGAGAGCTACAGGAATTGCGTACATTCAATTAATGTAACACTACAGCATTCCGCATATTAAGGTTTCAAAACATTTTTTTACTAACCTTTTTCCCCAGGGCTGAGTACCCCTGGCACTGCTTAACTCTCCTCTTGTAGTATCATCACAAGTTTAAAGAAGAGCGTTGGGGACCTAATGTGCATGCACTGCTGGAGTTGCACGTGCATTCAAACTTCACACAAGGAAGCATTAGATCAATGGTTTCCTATGTGGGCTTCCGCAGTAATAGAGTTCAGTGCAGGCACACTCACATTGAGCTAAGTGCATCGAACATAGATGACGTTACACATCCTCATGCCAAGTGTGAGGACGTCCAATGTCGGATAGCAGAGTTTTCCACCACCAAAACCCATGAAGCTCCATCTAGTGGCTGTCTGTGGGGAAAAATGTTGGTTTCTCCGATAACTGAGTTGGTTTTCTTCACAGAACCAAACTAATGGCAGCCAGACCACTTAATTGAGTTGAAATAGTGTCCATTTAGTAATATATCAGGTAGGTCACAACATTTAACAATTTATTAGACTCCTTTCTGTGACTAAGTTTGCACTTATTTTATTGTCTTTGTTTTGGGGGATTTTTTTGTTGGTGGTTTTTTTTATTTCACACTTGGGTCTTTTTTGAAACAAACTGTATTGTGCTTCTCATTTGTCGTCTTATTTTGGCATTAGACACTGATGGCTCTGTACTGCAGGGGTCAATGTTGAGTCCTGCATAAAGTACTGAAGGAGCTAAGGAATAGGAAGCAAACACAAGATATATTATCAGGTCAAATCAAATAGAGCTGCAGGATAATCGGATAAAAGACACAACCATACTGGATATGGAAACTAAGTCAAGACAATATACACTGATCAGCCACAACATTAAAACCACCTGCTTAACATTGTGTAAGTCCCCCTCGTACTGCCAAACCAGCTCTTTTGTGTCAAAGCATGGACTCCACAATACCTCTGAACATGTCCTGTGATTTCTGGCACCAACACATTATCAGCAGATGCTTTAAGTCCTGCA